TCGTATTCCAATTTCCATTCGGCTCCTCGCTCAACTAGCTTTATGGCCGATTAGGATACTCGGCATCTAGAACGTACGAGACAGGGCCGAATATAATATATATCTTGATTTTCTAAATATGTACTTGGCCTATCTGTGTCCCCTAATATTTGGCTCTCGCACACCGGATGTCCCGTGAGTGCTTGTAGCAAAAGAAGAAAAAATACCGAAAATTAGTCTAATTGGTCGATCGGGAAATTTTATTTTATTTTTTGGTATTTTTTTTTTGTATTTTTTAAGAATTGTTTGGATGACACCTTATCAATTTAATAAAAAAAAGAGAAAAAGAATAACAAATACAATAAGAAATTAATATTTTAATAAGATTGAGTTAGAGTAGAGAGTTTGACGCAGTGAGTATTAAAAAGGTGACTAGCTAAAATAGTAAAAGTAGATTTTGAGTTATAATTTGACTCAAAATTTGTTGAGACTGATGCGGATGCTGTTAGTTGTTTTCCTTATTTCTTTAGGTTCATAATAAACAATGTTGTATGCCCTAGGGCAAGAGAGCTTTCAATGTTCAATTTCTCATTGAGAATTCGTTTCTTCATTATGAATTTAAGGTGTTCTTCATTTGCTAGAATAATATTTAGCCCTGTGTGATATTTTCGCTATGCTAGGAACCTGTGGTGTATATGTAGTGTGGGTAGGGGTGTTCGTGGTTCGAATTTTGACGGTTTGCGAATTGGTTTGGACCCGTCCGAATCTATGCGGTTTGGTAAAAAGACAACTCGCAACCGCCCGCAATGCGGTTTGCAGTTTGTTCGGATAGTGTTTGCGGATGTGCAGGCGGTTGTGAACGGTTTGCGGATTGAACTTTTTTCTTTAAAAATTTATTTTTGAACCTTATTTTTTTCCCATCTTGTAAATATTTATTTTGGGCCCTTTTCTTCCCATTTTCTAAAATGCTCCAACATTAATAATTAATGAATTAAAACTTATAAAATTAAAAACACAACAAAATCAATTCGTAACACAAACAAATCATTCAAAATCTTAAATCAAATCATAAACTAACACAAGCACATATTTCAAAATCCTAAACTAGAACTCCATATTCATTAAGGAATTTAAAATTCAATTATGTAACAATAATAATATAATCAGTATTTATTCAGTTTCAGTTGATATAATACTATTAACAGATGTAATGCTAGAGTAAGTTCAAAGAATAAAGGGTGTTTTATTTTGGGCAAAAACATCTAGGTGGGATATAGGAATGAAATCAACGGTTAAGATAAAATAAATAAATAAATAAATAAAAGTGCGGGCGGTTTCTTGCGGGCGCGGGTTAAACCCGCAACCCGCAAACATTTCATATTTCAAACCGTATCCGTCCGCATTATATTTGCGAAACCGCCTATTTGAATGCAGGTTGGACAATTTTTACGAATCGGATAAACTATTACCCACCCCTAAGTGTGAGTGTCTATGTGCAAATATGTGTACATGTTTGTTTGATCGAGAGAAAAAAGGAAAGTGATATCTACAATGAATTTTGGCCCCAGAAGTGAAGTATATACTCTAAATTTGAAATTGATGGACGTGTACAGCTAGAATAATTGTGATTCATATACTTTTAAATGATTTTTTTTTTTTTTGATACACAATTGTTAGAGAGATAATAACAAGAAATTGACCCATTAAAGCTGATGTGTCAACTGTTAATTGAGCGTCTATATAGATCAATCGAATTGCATTAATCTCAGTTCACAAATTTCCTCATCATATTGCAACTTTTTTTTTTTTTCCTTTTCCTCCTTAAATAAAAAAATAAATAAATAAATAAATAAATAAAAAACTCAGGACACGACCAATTTCAAATTAGATTAGACACCTAATAGCAGCCAAGCGATAACACGAAGAAGCTACAGTTTTGAAGTTATTTAATCATCTTAGGGCTAAATCTCTTGATTGGATGTGTAAGAATTTTCCCCTCGGTAGACTAGCAGCAAAGCCCATTCATTCGAAAGATTAATCAGTATTTTTGGAGCATTGTCAAGCCAACTTGATAGTTGTATATTAGTGAGAGAAATTATTTAGTCTTTTCAAAACATCATGATGTTGTGATTGTGTATTCGATCAATGATGTTTTATAAATTTTTCAAATTATTTTTATCTTTTTCAATTTAGGCCTTATTTAGAAATATATTATTTTATTAATTTTTTAATTTTTTACGAAAAAGATGTACAAAACAATAAAAAGAATAATGTGACAACTTATAGTGACTTTTTAACTAAAATATATAATTGACAAACGAGGCCTTAGGTCTCATTTGCCAAGTTCTTTAATAAAAAAGTTAAAAAGTTATTAAAAAAATTTAAAAAGCTATCAATTCATATCAAAAAGTCAAAAATTCTTTTTTCTCTCTACTTTTTTTACATCTTTTGATTTGTATTTCTCAAAAAATTTTGGGAAAAATTCTTTATAAATAAGTTTTCAAAAGTAATCAAACCAAACAAATTTTTTCAAATTTTTTTTCCAAAACTTGTTTGGTTTACAAATTTTTTAAACAAATCTCTCTCTTATACACATTAAATCAATCATTTTTTTCAAAATTCTCTCTCAAAATAATTTTTTAAATCATTTTTTGAAAAAAAATCAAATTAAACAAATTTTCGTACTTTTTATCTCAAAACATATTTTTCAAATACAAACCAAACAAGGCCTAACTCTTTTTTTTTCTTCCCAAAACACCCCAAAGCCGTCTACACGCAAGTCTCTTCTTTTCTCGTCTCTTCCTTCCCATTCCTTTCATTTGCTACATTTTTTCTTCCCCTTTCATTGTGCCCTTTCTGTCACATCTGTCCTCCACTACACTTGCCATCTCTAGCTCCATCATCTTTCCATCGCCTTCACATTTGCCACTTCCCCTGTCATCACTCCTCTTCTGCCACCTCTTCCTTTCCTAATGTGTACTCTTTAGTAGGGGTGTAAATATGGCGTGGCCTGGCCGGCCTAGTCCAGCTCGGCTCGAGTCATGTCAGGCCTTGCAAGATTCTATTAAAATTCAGATCAGACTGGACTAGTCCATAAACTAAAAAATTAAACCCAAGCCTAGAGGTGTTCGGACTTCTGGCTTGGGCAGGTTTGATTATTTTTTTTATTTTTTAAATTTTTTCTACTAAAATTTTATTATTTTTTACTAAAAAAGACAATGGCCTTCGGGCAGGTCGGGCTTTGGGCCGAGCTCGGGCCTGGTCCTGGGCCTAAATGGGTCAAGCCCAACCCGGGTTGCCACAGGCCGCAGGTTATTTTTACCCTCCTACTTTTTAGTGGTGTTTTGAGGAGTTGATAAAAAATTAATTTTTTTTTTATTTTTTGTATGACTTTTTGACTTTTTTGTATTAAAAAAGTTTAAAAAACTAATTTTTTTAGAAAGTTCCCAAAACATCTCTCAACTGTGTCTATCTGTCACTCCTCACACTACTACTTTCTCTTAGATCTGGAAGTTTTGCTATGGTAGGAGTTGAGGAGGGATTGATAGTTATATAGAAAGCTGAAGAAGGAGATCACGGTGGTGGGATTAGGAGATCTGGAAGTTTTACTATGGTAGGAGTTGAGGAGGGATTGATAGTTATATAGAAAGCTGAAGAAGGAGATCACGGTGGTGGGATTAGGAGATCTGGAAGTTTTACTATGGTAGGAGTTGAGGAGGGATTGATAGTTATATAGAAAGCTGAAGAAGGAGATCACGGTGGTGGGATTAGGAGATCTGGAAGTTTTACTATGGTAGGAGTTGAGGAGGGATTGATAGTTATATAGAAAGCTGAAGAAGGAGATCACGGTGGTGGGATTAGGAGATCTGGAAGTTTTACTATGGTAGGAGTTGAGGAGGAAAAAGATGACAAATATAATTTTAAAAATAACCGTCCATTTTTTGTAATACAAATTGAATTTAAAAATATAACTCCCAATATCCGATTATCTTGATTTTTACATGAATATTCTACTCAATGAGTTTTAAAACGAATTATTAAAATAAGACTTGTGATAAATTTCACGAATTCCTCAAGTTCACTCAATATATAAATATGGAAGAAGTGTAACCTCCTCTATTACATAGTTTTTTCCAAATTTGTCAAATGCCATGTTGATCTCTTGGTAAATTACATACCATAGAAAATAAGCCAGAAATTTTTAGTAGCATGAACATTTATTCTTGCTATCGAGTTCAGAGATAAGATAAACTCACACCCAATACTTATACAAGTGTGATTATTTGTCCATGAAATATATAACAACAATGCAATGTTTGATTCACTAGAAAGAAAGCTAAAATAGAATGATTATTTGTCATAGAATACTCATTCCCTTGTTTTGGTGTGGTAAACCAAAAACGAACATACATTTCAAATGAAATCGCCATTCACTTATGCAGTGTTTGATTTATTGGAAGAAAGACTGAAATAAAACAAATATTTCGTTGAAATATTCATTCCCTAGTTTTGTCACAACTGGAATCACCCGTTTACCAATTTGGGAAAATGACCATTCTACTAGGATATCAAAGAATAATTATTCTATTCATATTCAAAAGCATTTCAGCGAATCAAATACTACCTGCCATTTTGTGAAAAAATTAATCAGCTTCCATTTCATAGGTAGTTTTGAGGTTTATAAGATTCATAACAAGACAGCCCATGTTCCAAATGAGGAAAAGGAAACATATATATATATATACACACATTTGAACCAAGTGAAGAATTTAGTGGCTAATAGATCTTTGGGTCTAAGATGTACATGAATAGGGTAATCCAAAACATTAAAGAACAAACAAGTGTTATTCAGTTTTTACCAACAAATCATTGCTCACACACAGGCTTAGCCCAAAGAGACAAACGACATTGTGCAAAAAATAAATAAAAATAAATAAAAAAATAAAAAATAAAAATAAAAATGAAGGCAAACTAAATATCTACAGGGCAAGCATAGGAGAAACAATTTTATGCAGAGAGAATAAACAAAATAAATTTCAGCTCACAATAACATTTCCAAAGTGGATAGAATATATTTCAGAGTTTAAGAAGTCCTTTCATGAGTAAAGACTCCTATGTGAAAAATACATGAAATTAGTTAGGATTGTTTTTCCCATAGCAAAAAACTTATAAGTCACAAATTCACAACAATTTCTTGACTGCTGTGACACTTTGAAACCTCAACACGTCACCATCACATTCATTCATTAATGAGTGTCACAATGTTTTAACATTGCAGAATTTCCTGCAAAACATAGCTCAAATAACTTGAAGAGCGTTAGAATCCAACGAACCAAACGTGTCTAAAACTAAAGACTAAATAGATTCCTAATGAAGCTCGAATCATCCAGGAAACAAGCTGTTCAGATAACCAACTAATCCACCGCCTTACAAGGCTAACAAACTAGAATTTTCATATTAATTTGGATCTTCTCCTTGTACCGTGACTTTGGACTCTGGACTTTTCATAGAAATACACAAGATCTTCAAATCAAAAGTTCCATGGAAATCCCACCATGGCACTTCCATGAGGGCCTTCGGGAATCTACCGCATTAGGCATCACCGTTAGTACCCAGCTTCATGTTCAAAGCTCAAATGCATGAAAATCCAAATGCATTACAACACATATAATGACTATTAAAAGGTTACTTACTGCTACATAAAATCTTCAACATGCATCCAATCATCCTCACGATCCTTGTAAACAAGTTCCTTCCCTTCTCTACACCATCCAAATGCCTTTCCAACATCAAACCATCAGTGAGATCAATTACCCTTAATTTCAACAACACTCCTTCGCAAACTAAACATTTCTTATCTTACAACAATGCAACATCAAGAAGCATATCTCTAACAGCATAGAGGTCGCTTCCTTTGGTACAACTGCTTCCAATTAACTTAGTCACCAGAGGAGGCTTAGGATGCAAATGCTGATCACCATGGGGTAGAAAAGAGGTGTCGGGATTATATGCAGATGAAACTTGAGCGGGATTGCAATCTTTATTTGTGGTATTTCTTCCCTCGGTCAAGGGAAAACCAAAGAGCCTGCAACTACTCTTACACATGGTTCCTAAATCTTGACTGCCCCCATTTGATGAATGAGTTGCAAGAGTAGAATGTGAAATACCCGGTTGGTTTTGCCCTTTTGAAATAGCAAAAGAACTGACACCTTGTATAACTTCCTTACCACAATATGTATCAGAAATATCAAATGCTTTCTGGTTGTTAATCTCATGCTCCTGATTAACTCTGCATGTTGAATGGAAGTTCAAAGCAGGAGTGCATGTTTGCTGGAACATTAACACCGAAGAAGGCGATGATGATTGTAATGATGGTGTGGACGAGCGCAGACAAGCATTATGCCCCTGCATCAGGACAGACCATCCACTCCCAGAGCTTGAAGATGGAACACCGTCAGTGATTCCTTGGTCCTGGTTTTCCTGCACTTTGTTAGCAGCCGGGCCTCTTCTATAACCTGAGTTTAAATATGTTTCTTGACCTTGCAAGACCTTATCAAATTGAAATGATTCACCAAAGCCTATGTTATCATAGGAAACAGAAGAATCTCCAAACGGGTTTCTGACACCATTTCCAATTGCAGAAATTGTGGAACAAACAGAACCAGGATTGCACCTCCTCATCTCTGATGAACAATAATTATGAACATCACAAGGAGAATTAAAACCTAAAATTTCTTGACCTTGCAAGACCTTCTGGAACCTAAAAGATTCCCCGAAGTCTGACATTCCTGTCCCATCTGTACAAGGCAATTATATAAAAAGTTAAAATTATCGAAATGAAGGAATAGACAATTTATCATAGGAAAACATATATCCTAGTATGCACAACCTCTGGGAACTGGAAAATCTGGTTTTGTCGAAGACAAACCAACCCTATTCCTCTTCATACCAGGTGCCACCAAGCTGCTGGATGCAGAAACTGAACCAGTTGGCTCAATCTCCCAAGGAGAAACCCTGTTATGTCGGGGACTTTCTAGATCATCCCACCTTACCTGCAGAGGTGGATCAATAAGTCACTTGATGCTTGATGCCATCAAAATTACAAAAACAATCATGGGAATATTTCATATTCATAGATGGCATGTGCTGATTTAGAGAAAGAAGAGCAAACCCAGGTAGAAGACCAACAAGAAAATTTCATGTGCATGTTGATGAATGGAAATTTCTTCAATTGACAAATTCATTAAGACATGATTTATTAAAATATTAACAAAGCACTTCGGGTTCAAATCCCACCAAATCTCTCTCAAGAGAAAATAAATAATAAAATTAAATTTAAAAAATAAAATAAAAAACTAAATTACATACACACAAACCACAAGGAACACTTGGATAAAGTTTCATCAAATTACAACTTTATTTTGCTCAGATATAATTAAGGGGTGACAATGGTTTGCTGCAGAACTTGTAGTTGCGTTTTCAGAAAGGCGGCAGAGATCAATATTTAAGATATTAAACCAATTACGATGTAGACTAGAGTTCTTGCTGCAGACAGATGAAACTGGGTGGTAGGTAGTCCAGCCTTCAAGTGTAAGGGTGCTGCTAAGAAATACTTCACGATTCATCGTAAAATACACTAAACATACAATGCATAAGTTAATAGAAATATAAAGGAAATGCTTGTCTTTCTCACATGGCCACATTTTTCAAGGGGTGGGAGAATGTACAATGAGATTATGACCCACAAAATTGAGACTTAAGCCTCAAATGTAGAATTTTCTAATTTAAGTAACTGAAAATTTTGAAACATTTCAAATCATTGTGGAAGAATGATGTTAAGAGATAATATAGTGAACTTTTATACTACAACACTCAGAGAACTCAATATGACCTAATGCTGGTGTCACCCACTCCTCTCCTCAAAAATTGACACAAGTTTTTCAATGTGGTGTTCACCATCTAAGAAGTTTCAAAATCTCAACTTGTACAATATTAAAATATATATATATATATATGTTATAAGAGAATCTATAAAGTCAGAGTACCATATTAACAAATTTTTGTAGTTGTTTCATAGGAATATTTCCTTTTTGGTTAAGTACAAAGTACATACCAACAAAGAAGGCCTACTTATTTTCACATCAGCATTATAGGGCATGTGTTTTATGATCCAAACTCAAGGTATGATTCTATTTTGCAATTTAGACCATAGATCCGGATGCTGTGCACCCTGAGCCCCAGACCGGAAACTTTGCATGTGAATGCATAACCAAGCACTAAAACAGATACATACCAACAGGCACCTCCATTTTGAACCAGGCCATCTAACAGGATCCACATCATTAACCCCAGTAACTAGTCCCGTATACCTGGCAGAAACACTATAAATTAGATTTTGAACGCAACTTTTTGGAATGCAGCAATCAGAAAATTCCCAACCTTCTTTCAGTTGCATCTTCTGTTTCAAAACGCATTTTAAACCTCATTCCAACAGAAGAAGAATGACTAAGGCTCTTTGAGAATTTACGGAACGGAATTATGAACTCCGACAAGCTAGCCCTACAAGATGCACTTGAAGTTCAGAGACAGTAAGAATGACTGGAGAACTTGGACCAAGTGATTCTCCCATATATTTAAAATAAATACAAATTCCAAATAAACATAAAACACAATGCTTCATAGCAAGTTGAATTTAGGAGTAAAGAAAGATTAACTGAAACTTTGGAGTACAATGTAGAGGTTGATCTGTTGTATGACTGACTACACGGCTAAATGGGGACAAGACAACATTAATCTTCGTTAATTATTGAAGACATGGAATATAGAGCACTACATACAATTCAACTAAATATTAAATTTTCACTAGTTTGGCGTACTTGATGACTTTGATGATGCCACTCATGAACAAATCAATTTTTAGCAAAAGCAAGTCACTAATTAAAGCAAATTTATTTAAGTGAAGAAGTGGGAACCTCTTATAGCCCTTTTTATGATTATTAAACCCCAAGGTTGCATCACTTTTTAAGTAGTTCCAATAACTCTCAAGGAAAAATATGCACACACAAAACTTGTAAACACTGTAAATTGCACATAATACATATAGCTTTTGGTCATCAATCTAGTTGATCATGCAAGCAGGAGAATAAGAGAGGCTGGCATCAAGGCCTCCACACTATCCTGAAAAGAAAGTATATGGAATTTGAGGTCCGCTAGAAGATTTCTTCCGAAAGTGCAGTGTACAATAAAAGTGAAAAAGGAGAGGTCCATGTTCTCAAGGGATATAAAGAGCACATATGGCATTAACTACATGGATTTCATGCCCTGGAGCACGCAGCCAACAAATAAATAAATCATTTTAATAACTCATATGGAACTATTTATCTTCCTACCAAATATGGTTAGATAAAGCCTGCCACCATCATAAGAAGATTGTGTAAATAAATGGCAGGAAGTCGAACCTAAATGCTTGGAATTTTGGAACTAATTATTGAAAAACGGAAGATATTCATAACTAGAAGGAAATATTCAAGAACTGGTCAAAATTATTAAGAGGCGTCTATGATGAGTTGCCTCACCAATTTACAAGAGATGTACAGTAGTCTCTACTAGATTTTGAGCATTGGCTAATTCTAAGTTCAAAAGAAAATATGGATACTAGCACCAACTGAAAGAGCAATATCTGAAAATTAATCAATAAGGTGTCAAAACAACAAAGTATGATATCTTCATTGCTTGATTACGTAATTATATTATTTACATATATATATTTATCTTAATTGTTACTATTTTTGGCAGTTCTTTGGCAAGTCAATTTCTGAAAGCCATCTGAATATAGTACTTGACATAGAGCTATTTATACTAAAACCCATATGCTATGTTATTAAAGAATTTGACAATTTCCTTCAAACAGTAGGAAGTTTAAATCTACAAATACACTAGATTTGACTTTCATACAAACATCTAATCAATTTAGATTTTCTAGAATGGCTGAATCACAAAAACTTGTCACACCTAAACAGCCTTCTTCCAAAGAGTACGCGCATACTGACATATGTACTGGGTTGATATCACACAGGTCAGCTGGCTTCATAAATATTCAGTAATAACCTTTTTCATCAAAATAAGCAAATGCAAACAAAACATCAAATATTGCTATGTTAAGAAGAAAGGCAGGCTAATTTTTTTTTCTCTTTTTATTTTCTTTTTTGGTAAGTAGAGAGAAAGCCATTTTTACGTACCCGTACCATTTTACAAAACCAATCTAACCATACATACAATAAAATTGTCAATATGACTATTCCTCCAGAAAAATAATTGGTATGACTTCAAATACCTGGGATTGTAGCGAACGTTGAACACGTTTCTCATAGATATAGCATTGACAACAGCACTGATAGTGCCAACATTCAACTTCTGGCTAGAAAGAGCTGGAAAAGTAGAATCAGTTTTGACTTGAGCTGCTCTTCGGATTCCCAATCTCAATTCTCCATCACCACCCCTGCCAAAAATTAAATATAACCACCCAAAACAGGTAGTCAACATCATTTCAAATTTAGGTTTCTTACCTCAGAAAGAGCACAGCATCTCCGGAGACAAGCTTCTTCTTGTTGATAAATGCACTCCAACCAGTAGTCAGCAGATGCCTTCGAGGCTGGCCTGCTCAAACAGAAAAGAGGAAACATAAAGTCGAAAACTTAAACTGGGAAACTCAAAGTACAAAAAATTTCCATCACAATGCCATTACTCCAGGGATTTAGATCGTCTCCATTTTAGAGATGGAATATAGATCTCCATTTCATAATGGATAACCGTGAAAGATCTTCATCAAGAATTCTGTATTTTTAAAACTTATAATGACATGGTAGTTATAGACTATTGATTTTAAATTGTGATTGTGACGATGTGTTGCAACCTTATGAAATGAAATGGAGATTTCTATTTCATAGATAAAATAAAGAGGATCAAAATCCGCTGTGCCATACAGCTAAAATACAGGATCAACATAAACATATGAGTTTTGTCACAGACCCCTGTATATATGTCGGAACTTCCATTCAATCCCATGTAAATCTTTTGCTACAAGCTCTTGTGAAGGCCTTTGTTGTTTATAATCCTACAGCAAAAATGTAGAAAACTGAGGGTCCTGTAGTAGAGAAATAATTAAACCATACAGATTACTTGTCTATGCACATTGACATAGTGAGCGAAAAATATTTAAACCGGGTTCAGTTGAAGTTCAAGAATATGCAAAAACAAGATTGGAATACCAAGGGAGGGAAGCAGTCCTCGGCAGCCCGGCGAGGGACAGAAAATCCTCCATGAGTGCTAGTATCAGAAGCAGTAAGGGTCTTGCAGAACATGTGCGGTGTGATCGATTTCACAGCACCTTCTATGTCCTCTTCTTCACTTGCTGCTTCAATTTTCCCTTGTCTCCATTTCTGCTCAATCTGCTGAACACGACAAACTCCTCTCCAGTTGTTAACCCCCAAAAGTTAAAAACAACCCACATCACAGAACCACAAAACAAAGTTAAAAGGCCTAAATACACTATATGCTCATCTAAATAGCTTTTTCAATGCCCTTTTCTAGAAAAAATAATGTAGTTCAAACACCATTTGTGTATGAAATCAAGGATTGCATTTTTACCCTCCGTTTGTTTGGTAGAAAATATTTTTTTGGAAAATGTAGTATGTATTTTCTGATATTTGGTACAATAAAGAAACAAAAAATCAACCGAAAACATTTTCCGCCATCAATAGAAAACAAGTCTATTTGGACAAAAACATTTTCCACTTTTGAAAAACAAAAACATTTTCTGCACTAAAATATTACCAAGGTCACCGCACCACCACCACCACTCTCACCTCCACCACCACACACCACCATCACCGCTGCTGTCGCCCCACCACCATACCACCACCTCCACCTCCACCTCCACCTCCACCTCCACCTTCACCTTCACCTTCACCTTCACCTTCACCTTCACTCTACCGCCACCACCACCAGCATAGAAAAATATTTTTCCCCGAAAATATTTTGTGAAAAAAGTTCTCTTTTCCATTAGAAAATATTTTCCGCCAAAAGAAACGTAGCATAAAGTAATGAAAGTACATCTCTACACTCTAGCAAGAGAAAATTTTAAGGAGAAAGTCCCAGCTATAACCGTACATAACCTGAGCATCAGGAATTAGGGAGACTTGTGCATAAACCTCATCAGTTGCTGCCTCGGCCTACCCAGAAAAAGCACACATTTCACAACGAATTCGAAAGTAGCAAAGTACCCAAAAAGGGAAATCGGACTAAAATCCCAAAATTAGAAAAATAATAAATAAATAAAAATTTGAAACGAGTTACATGAAGATTGACATGGAGAACTCGACAGAAGACATGAGGAGGAAGATGGTAGATTGTGGCGGGAAAATCAGAGGCGTGTTCTAAGTGGCCTTGAGGGAAGTAAACCACCACAGTGCCTTTCTTTGGGAGAGAGACGAGAGGACCGGCACAAGCGTGCCAGAGCTCTAAACACACCGCCGGAGATGAAGAAGGGGAATCGAACGGCGGAGGAGGAGGAGGAGAGTCGTCGTCGTCGTCGTCGACGGTATTGAGATCAATCAAACTACACATCTTTGTGGGGAAATTTTCTAGAAGGAAAGAAAAGGTGGAATTGAAAAGAAATGGAGGAGAGGTAGCGATACGTTCACATATAGAGATATCTATATATTATTGTGGATGTTTGGGAGGTTTTAGCAGTTATTTTAGTTTTTGATTATTTTAATAAATTAAAATTTGTGTTTAGAACAATAATTGAATTTTTTTTTAGTTAGATGTGATGTTTATAAAAAAATAAATAAAATGATTATGAGTTTGATATGATATTTTGTCTTATTGATTATTTTATGCCTCGTTTGGCAAATAGCTATTTTAACTTAAATCAAAAAGTTACTAAAAAAATCAAAAAACCTATAATTTATACCAAAAAGTCAAATATTCTATTTTCTTAATACTTTTTGCACATCTTTTTGTAAAAAGTAAAAAAAATCACCTCAAACATACTAGTTTTTTTTACCTCATATTTTAGTCAAAAAATTATTAAAATAGCATATTTCCAAACGAGGCCTTAGTCTATTATGTCATTTTGTGAATTTTAATCCAAAAAGACAAAAAAACGTTTGCCATAAGGTAAATTACAAATACACTTTCAAGGTTTGCTTAAAATACAGATTACTTTTTGTAGATTGAAAAATTATAAATACCCCATTGCTAAATTTAAATAAAATGATTATGAGTTTGATATGATATTTTATCTTATTGATTATTTTATGCCTCGTTTGGCAAGTAGCTATTTTAACCTAAATCAAAAAGTTATTAAAAAAATCAAAAACCTATAATTTATATCAAAAAGTCAAATATTCTATTTTCTCAATATTTTTTGCATATCTTTTCGTAAAAAGTAAAAAAAGTCACCTCAAACATACTAATTTTTTTTACTTCATATTTTAGTCAAAAAGTTATTAAAATAGCATATTTCCAAACGAGGCCTTAGTCTATTATGTCATTTTGTGAATTTTAATCCAAAAAGACAAAAAAACGTTTGCCATAAGGTAAATTACAAATACACTTTCAAGGTTTGCTTAAAATACAGATTACTTTTTGTAGATTGAAAAATTATAAATACCCCATTGCTAAATTTTTTTTTAATAGAATTAACTAAAAAAATAAAATTCATAATTGCTCTCATATATAATAATAAAATTACTTAAATTATTAATTGAAACATATTTTTAACATAATTAAAACTATTAATTGATTTGATAATTTCTTAATAAAATGGGCGATTTATTTTGAAATTAAAAATTTCAGGAAAATAATGTAATTTTCAAAATCACAAAGGGCAATTTGTATTTTAATTAAATCTCAGAATGTATTTGTAAGGAAAAGGTTTCTACCCAGTGATGTGGGAGTTCTAATATTTTAATTTAATTTTTTAGTTTTTTAATTTTAAAAAAAAACTTTAGTATTTATTGATTTTTCTTAAAAAAAATGCATGTGACCCCAGTGGGGGTGCTGGATCTCTTTTGATTCCAAAACAGTTTTTTTTTTTCATCCATTGGCAGCCCCTCAAGTGGAGGTGGGGGTGCTAGGGGTCTTCTCCTGCTGGGGTCCCCAGTAGGACTCTTTTATTAATTTATAAGTTTTTTTTGACTTCAATCATATTTATTGTCGCATCATTTTTAATTTCTCCCATACATTATGGTTAATGATGAAATTGTAAAATTATTTTTATAAGAAATCTAAAAAAAATAATTTTATATTAAAAAAATATCTAAAACAAATATAAATTCTTATTAAAAAATACATTTTGCATTTCATTAAAATCTAAAAAAAAATTCGTATATTAAAAAAATATCTAAAATAAATATAAATTCTTATTAAAAAATAACATGTTACAATTGTGAAAAAAAAAATTATACCATGCATTTCATTAAAATCTAAAAAAAAATAATTTCTATATTAAAAAAATATCTAAAACAAATATAAATTCTTATTAAAAAAATAACAAGTTACAATTGTTGAAAAAAAAAAGAGAAAAAAAATTACATTATAAAAAATAATTTGTATATTAAAAAAATATCTAAAACAAATATAAATTCTTATTAAAAAATAACATGTTGCAATTTCGGGGGAAAAAAATTACACTATGCATTTCATGAATAATGCTAAAAATATGTGCCAAGTATTTGTGTAAAAACTTGACACGTTTTCATTCTCAAATTAGCAAGTGAATATAGATGAAACCAAAGAACTCAACTTTAATTGCTAACAAATATTAGAAGCCCAGCCATTAGTTGAAAGGTCTCAATTCACATCTCTTTGTCTTATCAAATGTTCCATTTATTTATTTTTGTTGGTTCATGCATTCATTCTAATATTGACAAAGAATTGGACATGTAGAAGAGTGAAAGACATTAAAATTATATGTTGAGTTATGTAATTGTTGTGATGAAAAATAAAGGTTGTCTTCCTCTTTTATGCCGATTTGTCTGGTTATACCTCTATTTAAAATGTCAGGTGTGCTTCTACATCATCATTGAACGTTGTTTTCATTTTTTAAATATTTTGTCTCACAATTGTTTGGGTTTTGTATTATGAAATTTATTACATCTGTGTTTGCTAAAACTATTAGATGGACATAATGCAATAAATGCAAATTATTTCAATGTTATTTTGGGGATTAAAAGTACAAAAAAATATATGAATAGACAAAATTTTACAAAATTTATTTGTGAGTCTCACTTTTTGAAAATCATATACTAATTCATTTACTTTTTGGATTAAATTTTATGTTTAGTTTCTGTAGTTTTTTTAAAATATTGTTTTCTTTGTTTTCTTCAAAAGTTTATTTTAAAAAATTAATTAATTAATAAATAAACCATTTTCTATTTCAAATAATTTCATTTTTTCATTTTTAAATTTTTTTTAAAATAGTTTTAGTTTTGGGCAATTACTTACTTTTTTTTTTCTTCTGTATATTGCAATTTTGTACATTTTAAGTATATGTTATTTTTACTAATATACTCGGAGATGCATTATAAAAGAAGTATTATACAAAAATCAAGTAAGAAGAAGAAAAATAAATAAAACAATACGATAAATGTGGAGTAAAGATCAAAGATCAAAACTTTCAAAGCAAGAAAGTAAATAAATTAGCAAGTAGAATAGAATGTTTAATAATAGACATGTGAAGATTTACAACAAAATTTTATAACTTTCTTTTTTGCTAAGAAATTCTATTTAGTACTAGCTAAATAAAATGCTTTTAATTTTTTTTTTTGGGTAAAAATTTGAAATTAAAACTATAGTAAATTTATGTAAGCATAATTGCTAACCACTTTTTTTTTTTTTTTTTTTTTTAAATTTTTTTTTTTTTTTTTTTTTTTTGCATAATTTATAATATTTATATTGACTACCTTTCTTAGGTTTATTTTTTTAAGTATTTATATAGAAATTAAAAAAACGTTGTTAGGAATAAATTTTTCCCGTACATTATTTTTAAATTTTGAATAAAAGCAAACATAAAATAATTTTTGAAAATATGCTGCATTTGTTATATTTTTTCTGTATGCAAAAAAAAATTAATAATTAAAAATCACAATTCATACACACACATATATATATAATTGTAAACACAACCCGTGTATATCATGGACGAAACACTAGTATATATAGTGAGTGAAAGTGGGTGAAGAGAGAGAGAGAGAGAGACCCTACTAGGTGCGCACTCACTACATTGTTAAAAGAAGGGGTATGGCTTCTGCCGGACTGGACCGTGTTGTTGGGCCCGTGGGGGCTTACAACGGGTCCTGTTTTGATAATCTGAACCGTTCAATGTGTAGAAATCGTCGAGTACTATATGCTTGTAAAAAATCACGTTGATCGGATATCGATAGCTATGTGATCAAAACAGTTTTTTGTCAACCGTTAATTTGTTCACCATCTAATTTTTTTAATACGAAACTGATTTGATCATATAGGTATCGATATCCGATCAACGTGATTGTTTATAGGCATATAGTACTCGACGAGTTCTACACATTGAACGGTTCAGATTATCAAAACGGGACTCGTGGTGGCCCCCCACGAGCCCAACAGCACGGTCATGTCTGATCGGACTGGACAGAAGCCATATCCTAAAAGAAGAGGAGTTAATAGTAAGAGGAAATTTCATCATAACTTTGATCATCAATTTAACCCTTAGGTGGTACCAAATTCCTAACACTATGTAAGGCTTTGTTTGGGAACAAATTATTTTATTAGTGTTTTGATTTTTTATAAAAAAAATGTACAGAAAAGTAGAGAGAGTGATCTGACAATTTATAGTCACTTTTTGACTTTTTGGTTAAAATTGAAGATTGCTAAACGAGGCCTAAGTCTAACTTTACTGGAAATGATCTGGATCGGCTCATGCTGCATTGAAACTTAGTTATTGGGGGTGTTTGGGAAGTTAGTTTCTAGGTTTTTTTTTTTTTTTTTTTTTTTGTTTTTTTTTTCACTAAAAGACAAATTAGTTACAAAATCAAAAAAAAAACAAATCCAAACAAAATATCACATCAAACCCCATAATCATTTCATTTTTTCTCTCACAAATATCACATCCAACCACAACAAAACCTAACTATCTTCCCAAATACACAAAAAAATGTCTCCAATAATATCCTACAACTAAAAAACTTACCAAAAAACCCACTTCCCAAACACCCACATTGTTTATAAAACATAATTTTTTGTGATATTTTTTAATTTTTTTTCTAGTAGATTTTGTAAAAAATTACGTCGTAATCGATAATTTACTATCAGTATTATAGCGATTCCAGTTTTGACCCGACTCTTGTTGTATCCCGGACTCGGGTTTCATGGTTTCATATTGTTGTTCATATCTTGCTTCCCTTGTATCTCGTTAAATTTGGCTTTTGGATTGTTGTGGTTGCTTTTGGGACAGGTTTGTTGCTTAGTTTCTAAACTTTTGTTGTCCAGATTTTTGCTCATTCGCTCGAGCAGCACTTCTTGTGCTCGAGCGGGCTTTGCAAACTCTTAGTACTTTTGCAGGTCTGCAAAACTCCTGGGAGAGTGTATTCTACGCTCAAGTGGTTCTTTCTGCGGTCGAGCGAGCTCAGCTCAAGTGACACTTCTTGCGCTCGAGCATTGGTAT